GTTAGAAAATGTCAAGGGTGGAAGAGTAAAAGCTGAACTGTCAATTCAAAGTCTAGAGGACAAGAAAGGAGAAGGAAATGAAAATGAAGTGATGGGGAAGAAAGTGGAGGAGAGCCTGGATTTTCGGGTTAGAAAATGAAACAGGATCTTCTTCAAGCCATGAAGGTGAATTTTGTCTGTGGAGCGCACTTGATCTTCCAACTATCTGTTAACTGATGGATATAACTGGTATTGCTTCAATTCCCGGTGTTAGTTCTGATATTCTGAGATAGGTTGAGGGAACAATGACATATTAACATGTAATGATGAGTTTATAACCCTGAAATTAGTTCTTTTTTTCATGTTCATGAACCATGAATTTTATGAGCAGTTATTCTAATTTCTGTTAATCAAGATAGATAGAGACTTGTGAAAGCCAATAAAGCATTTGTGTAGTGATCAAAGAACTGGCTGGAGTCAAGAGAGGTTTTGAATTCAATTCTTTAGGAAGTGTAAAGAAAAACAGGAACTAATTATAAGGCTTTCCCAAAAGGAGAAGAACAAAAAAATTTATAAGGTTTTCCCTTCAGAAGTCTCTGCAAGGAATGCTTTTATTGTTAATTTGGTCAAAATTGATATGATTTTGCAAAATAAAAATTGCTAGTAATAAGTTTCCGATGTAAGATAGAATATCAAGCTGTTAAAATATATCCTCTCTGTGTAAAAAGTATAAGTAGAGAATACATGAACCATGAAAGAAAGCATAAATAGGATATGTAGAAACAAATAAACATCAAAATCTATAAAGAAAAGAAGAAAGAAATATTTTTCTGTATTTGAAGTACAGAGACAACCGAATTATTGATAAGAAAAAACAACCATTTAAAGCAATACGCTCAAAATTCAAACAATAGTCATATCACATATTTGGTAGAAACAAATAAGTTACAGTCCGACCACATCAACAAACAGCTAGAAGATCAAGCTAAACTTAAAAAATCAGTCGAAAACAAAATAAAGTGCAAATGAGATATCTCATTTTCGTCTACCTTCATAAGAGACATAATTAATATCATAAGAACAATACCAGTCTCAGCTCTTCAGTCTGTATGTAGAAGATACCACTTCCAATCATATCCATCCTTCCAGTAGCACTCCCAATGGAATATGTAGGTGCAATCTGGCTCTGTGCATTGAATGGATAGATCATCTCTACAAGGCTTACCACAGTAGTTGCATTTAGGAGGATAAAAATCTATCTTCACCAAAGTGACAGGGTGTTCGTGATCATCAATCGGGAATGGTTTCCCGAGCTTGACAAATGGGGATTTCCAAAGCACACAATTAGGATGAGCAGAAACATCGCAATCAGCACAATGATAAAACCACTGCTTCGGATCTCTGTTTTCTTCACATATGTCACAATAACATTGACTTAGATCATGATCATCACGATGAGTAAGCTTGAGAGCATGCTCGTCATATTTGTACCGAGCTGTTTTTGGCAGCACAAGGCATCTATAATTCAAGGTCAAATTGCATTTCTTGTCCTTGCATCTAAAACCGCGTTGACCACAATAATCATCACAACCATTACATTTCTCTTCGTATTTGTGGTCAAAGAAAAGGGAGTGCTCCTGTCCTTCTATATTTACAATACGAGTGTCGAGAATTTCATGACACCGGATGCACATAATCTTGTTGCATGCATTACAATTGTAGCCAAACCCAGTACTCCAAAACTCGCAATAGTCACAATTAAAAATGGAATAGAAAAGGAGTTCTCTTAAATGCCTGCAAGTCCAGTGACGCACCTTCTTGGGAAACTCATGAACACAGCACTTACAGAGAAAGAAATTACATTGTGCACAATAGTAAAATGAAGTAGAGATGGAACGCATGCAACCTTCACAACTTTGGCCATCCTCAACCCCATCATCACTCAATAGTAAGTTGTGTTTATGGCTGAAATGCTTTATCTCTCCAGGTTTGATTTCCTGAAAAGCAGGAAAGATAGCAGTCCAGTCATCTGATGATTCGGACTCTTCATCTTCCAAAAGATCTTTATCAATTGCACAATTTACATGAGCAAAATATTTGCAATCTGAACAGCAGTAACTCCCATATCCCAGATTTATGTCATCATGACAGATATTGCATTCACGTTTTCCAGCTTCCTCATCTTGAAAGAAATAGATGTGAGAAAGTCGATGTGGATGCCTTATTGTTTTGATGGTGCGGCGAAGTGAAGTGCAATCTGTATGAATAATAAGGCTGCATTCACCACATGTAAGGCAAACATGACTTCCATCCGTTCCACATGCATTACAGACGAATGAAATTGTGCCTGAAATAGGGTTCAACGGATGTTCATGAATTTCAGCTGTAATTGTATGCAAAAAAGCGTCCGCAGCTCTGAAATCAAACTCACAAACAGAACAATAATAAACAAATCCCTCATAAGACTTGGTGCACAAATGACAAGAACATTTCTCTTGATGTGGTGGGGGTTCGGCCAAAAGCTTTAGAGGGTGTTTCCGGTGGGCAGGGTGATTGATCTCAGGAGGCAACTCCGCACATTTCTTGTGAAGGTGAAATTTGCAATTGGGACAAAAGTAGAATGGACTTGACTTGTACATGGATTCACTACATCCTGAGCAGACTTTTCTTTTGGATTGAGATTTGGTTTGAATTTCAATATCTTCAACAAGTATCAATGGATGATGGTGGCTAAAATGTTGAAGCTTTTGAAACTCTTGAGCAACAAATTGAGGATGCATAGCACATCTAAGGTCAAGGTCAAAAGCACAAGAATCGCATCCATAAAAAGATCCAGTAAATATCCCGCAAACATTGCAACTTTTATGAGCATAATCTTCCAAACGAAGAGTAAGAGGGTGCTCGAAGTGGAGGGGGTGATTAATGATCTCCCTTTGTAGCTCAGCACATTTCTTATGTAGGTGAAATATGCATTTGGGACAACAGTAGAATGGACTTGACTTGTACATGGGTTCCCTACATCCTGGACAGACTTTATGTTTGGTTTGAAATTCAATATCTTCAACAAGTATCAATGGATGATCGTGGCTAAAATGTTGAAGCTTTTGAAACTCTTGAGCAACAAATTGAGGATGCATAGCACATCTAAGGTCAAGGTCAAAATCACAAGACTTGCATCGATAAAAAAATCTGATAACTTTCCTGCAAACATTACAGCTATTATGAGCATAATCTTCCAAATGAAGAGTAAGAGGGTGCTCGGAGTGGAGGGGGTGATTAATGATCACCCTTTGTAGCTCAGCACATTTCTTATGAAGGAAAAACCCACACTCACCACAACCGTAGCTGGAACCCTCTAATTCTTCCTCGCATCCAGAACAATAACCCTCTGCTGCTTTCCTGCATTCATAACAATAACCCTCTACTGCTTGGTTGCATCCAGAACAAAAACCTTTTCGACTTCCCTGATCACCCGGCTCTTGATCCACAAGCACCAAAGGATGTGGATGGCTGAAATGATCGATGCTCTTCATGACTTCCTCTTAACCAAATTCTGAAGAGGGAGGGAGGGAGGGTAAACTAGACAAGTAAATAGCAGCAAAATGAGAGGATTTCTGGTTGATTGTAATGAACTACATAAAAAATGAGTAATGATATCTCCCAAATTATTTTAAACTTTAGAATGATTGTGTCGGCCATTTTCACTTACGTACAAAATTTGAAGGTTATATCCCCGATTCAGTCCCTCAACTTTCATTTTTGGACTAAAATTACCCTTGAACTTCAAAAAGTACTAAAAATATCCTTAAACTTTAATTTTTGGAACCAATTTT